ATGTGTGTATGGATTGGGATAACAGTTGTATGAGCCCCTAATAAAATGTTAAAAAAAAAAAAAAGAGCCAAAACCATCACCTTAATGCGGCAATTGCAGGGCAGCACAAAGAAGAGAAAAGGCTTCGGTCACCGGCAGAAAGGGAGCAATCGAGATCCACGCAGAAAATAAATGAAACAGAAATACAATACATGGAATCAAGAGTAGAAGTGGGTTCCTTGAAAGGATTCCTGAAGTTCACAAGTCACTGCTAAAGTTAAGGAGAAAACCAAAAAAGCACCAATAAGAAATGAAATCGAGAGTCTTGGAGGCGTGGAGGCAATGGCGGAGCTGGGTGAGGCAGGTGGAGCGCCATCGCAGCACCTTGGGACGGCCAAGCCGCAGGAGGCTTCGAAGTCACCTCATTTCGTGTGTGGAGAAGCCAGGAACCTAGACTCTCACACTGAAAACTATCTTTCTAGCTGTGTGGCCCGCTTCGTTGACACTATCCTGGCCACCCGCAGTCGGTGTGCCCGGATTGTACAGGAGGGGGACAGTAGGCCATCTCTGGGCACATGACAGAAGCAGCAAGGCGCCAGCGAAGTAAAGATGCCATCCATTGTCAGGTGGCCGGGCTGTCGCCAAGCCTCTTGGTGCTCAAAGGTAACAGATCAAATGTTCAAAACGTAAAATTATTTGGGATTCCCCAACTCCAGATTGTGTCCCATCCATTCTTTCATAAACTGTAAATTCTCAACAAAAGAAAGAGACGAAATGAAATCAGCAAGATCACACCGAAGAAAACCAATCTCTCTGCCATTGCGTTGATACTGACTCGTAGCAGCCCCCTGTGGGGTTCGGAGACTGTAACTCTTTACCGGAGTAGAGAGCCCAGTCTTTCTCCTGAGGAGCTGCAGGGGTTTCAAACTGCCGACCTTGGGGATCTCACAGCCCACTATGTAACCACTACACAACAGGGCTCCTTCTGACCAATACATCTTATGAACACGACACCAAAACTCCCAACAAAATCCTAGCCAATAGAACCCAACAACATATATATATATGTTAAAGATGCATCATGACCAAGTAAGAGTTATATAAGCAACCACATAAATTAAACATAGGAAAATAATCTCATGATCATATCAATCAATGCAGAAAAGACATTTGACAAAATCCAGCACCCAGTCTTGATAAAAAATACTCAATAACATAGAAATAGATGAATGGAAAAACAAACTACCCGCACACAATGCCATGTGTCTCATAAAGAATAATGATGAATCTACACACACACACACACACAACCCGCTTAATATGAGTGAACTTGTACTGTGTGAAATCAGTGTTTGCCACGAAAAGGAAAATAATGTATGAACTCAGTACTGTAAAAAGTCAAAGAAGGCTTACACAGTGTAAAGATGGCATGGGGGTAGTGGCTGATGCCAGGAGGGAGAAGAGAGTAAACCCAGCATCCCCCTGGGCCCATTCCTATGAGGCAGAGGCCAGACATGGCTGCTCCCTCCATCCAGCCTGCTTTACCAGTGCTGACACCAACCATCTTCCCCACAGCACGCTCTCTTTCTCTGCTGGGTTATTGCATTCCTTCTGGTGGACACACAGAACTCACGGCCCATACTCACAATGATGGGGTTTCTTCGAGGAGTTCACAGGCTACAATTCAGGATCAGAAAAGTTCAGGATACAGTTCTTTGGTCAAACGTGCTGTGTCTCAGCCATGCCTTCAGACAGCCTTCTCTCTGCTCCTCGGCCTTCCAGCCACACAACCCTCTGACCTCGTCTGTTTGAGCAGCGTTACAAAGGGGTGTTAGTGCCGCTGTTAAATGACAAAAGGCCCCTCCACCCTGCCGCAAGCCTCAGTCCAAAGGTGCCTAGCGCTAGCTCCATGGGTCCTCAAACCTAGCTCCCCAAACACGCACCCTGGAGTCTCCAACCTAAAGGCACTCAGATTTCCTACGCCGTGAACTGAGAGCCCACAGCTGCGTCTGGGGCCCTGAGAGCTGCAACTGCTTCTCCTCCTGGATCAGAGGCTCGCGGCCGAGGAATCTTGGGATCCAAAGGACTCGCTTCTCTCAGCGCTTCTTTCTTGACGGTGGTGAGATACAGCCCCCTCCCATTTCTGCTCTCTAGAGATTGAAGCATTTTAAACTGAGCCTGGTGGCAAAAATGGCCATGCACCTTAGTTGCATGCCCCCATGCCACATGGGTGCCACGCACCTCATTTACATTCCCCTTGGTGGTCCACGGGCTTCTCACATTTGCATAGCCTGCCCGGTCATGTGCTAGGAATTACCAAGACTGGAAGAGCTCTATCAAGTCATCTCCTGCTCGACATACAGAGAAAGGTTCCCAGGGGTAAGAGAGGCAGGGCAGGGCAATCATTAACTGGAGGGTAGACACATATTAACTTGGGGGAAGGGGAAGGTGATATGCTAATAAGGGCAGGTCACACGAAATAACTAAGGCACAGGGAGACACGGGGTGGAGTCCCAGAGTGAAAGGCAGTCCCTGTCCATCTGTGACGCAATGGCAGTCAGAAGAGGAATCAACAAGGGGTACACGGAGGGACGCTCAGCCGAGCAAGGATGGAAAGGGCCCGTGAGGTGACACCCACAGGTACCGATTAGCTCGGGAGAGGATGTTTCTACGCAGGTATTTGTATGCGTTGCGAGTCTATCCAGGAAGATGGCAGAGCACACAAGGGACATCATTATGAAAACCTCTTCGCTCTAACCAACCCCCTGAGGGAATAAATCACGGGGCCTGGGGGCTCAGGCCCTCGTCTCAGGGACATCCAGGCCAATGGCCATCACCCGATCCACACAAAGACAATGTGCGGCCTCCACTTGGTTGGTGCTTTGCCATCCTCCCCCACTCCTCCTTAGTCATCCTAGAACCAGGGTGGGCCTGGTGCTGCCTGGTGGCCAGGACAGCAAAGCCAGCAGTTGCCACGGAATCATCTGGATAAACTCTGAGCCGTGGTCCAGCTGCTGTGGTGTGTGGCTCGCTTTAGAACTGGGGGTTCTCAACTCCTCTCTGTCCCCGGCTCTGGGGCTTCACAGCCAACTCTGGAATGGGCCTGTCCCGAGCTGTGCTGGCCCATGTCAGCACCAACTTCTTGGCAGTTGCCAGGGCTGCCCAGTGCCCCGGCTCAGTCAGATGGGCTGTGGGCTAGAGACATCTCTTTCTTCATCTCTCCCCAGAGATGGTCTGTTTCTCCATCGCTACCCACCCCCCCACCCCACCCCCACCGGCAGCTTCCGTTCAGCCAGTGGCCTGAACCTCAGGAAAAACAAGAGGTAAAAGACATTAGGTAATGCTTGAAGCCCCCAGAAGTTCTAAACCCAGCCCACTGCACGCTCAACATGTGCTTTGGTTTTCTGTCTTTCTGTCTTAATGAAACTAACTGTACAAATAAGGGCCAACCGTTCTCAGCTTGCCTGGCTGAGAGAGGGTGCTCTGAGGAGACGTCTCTCCTGTACCAGTGGGGGAAATGGGGACTGACTAAATGACCCCAAAACCCCACCCTCCCCACCACCGCCCAATCGATCAGGACCAAATGAGCATATCTTGGTGAAAACAGTTCCCAAAGAAGATACAGGTCTATGCAGGTTGACCTGAGGTCTGCCATACTAATCACCTTAATTAATTAGTTAATTCCAAGGGGGGGGGTGTTCTTGACTGGGAGTGCGTTTCTCTGCGTCTCCTCATGAACCCTTTCCATCTGGGTGCTGGCCAGGTCACCTCTGCTGGTTTGGGGGTTCACGTCTCCCGGATATTAGACAGCTGAAGGCAGGGTGTGGGAGGGGCGCGGGCTTTCAAAGGCAGGTGGTTCCAGCTTCAAGCCCGGCTTCATTCGTCTGTCCACCGTGAGGTCGCTGGCCGTTTGCACCCTTGTAAAATGAGGGCGCTGTAGCACCTCACTGGCATCGACAGTAAGGGGTGGGTTTGAGGGTGACATAGCTTTTGAGAGGAAGGAGGAAGGGAACCAGTGGGGTCCAGTCCTTCAGAAAGATGAGCTGCGATGTGTGTCCCTGCAGCCACGGTCCCCTCCCAGAGTCCGGACCGCCTGTCATTTTCATCCATTCAACTTCCCCCCTGCCCCCCACCCATGGCACCTAGTCCCCCGACAGCGTAAGAAACGCCAGCCGAATAGGACAACCCGTTCTCTTTGGCTTGCTATAACATTTTATTGGAATCATTTTTCTCTTGTGTCACCGGTCATAAATGTCACTGGAAAGCTGGATGCGGGAAGCAGCCGGGAATGTGTTGGGAAAGGACCGGTGAGATAGCCCCTGCAGTCTTGACCAGTCCCTGCCAGCCCTGTGCCCTAACCCCCTCCAGACCTGCAGCTGGAGCAGCTCTGAGGGAGGAGGAGGAGGAGGCTGGATTTGCCCCCTCCCTCGTCCCAAGCCAGTGGGCAGCTCCCTCGGGGCCTCATCTCACTGTTCCTAACTCCTGCTCTGTCCTCAGAGAAGCAGAGGCGCTGGCAGCTGCCCCCCGGGCACTTCCTGGGGCCTGAAAGAGTGGTGTGTGAGAGGGAAAACCCCAGGGCAGTATGAGGAGGTTAAGAGTTGGGCTTTGGGGGACACACCCTTACACGAGTCCCCGCCGCCTGTCACTGGAGATGGGACTTGCACTGGGGAGGATTCATCCACTCCACCTTCCCTGCAGAGCACCTACCTGCCCACCCAGACCCACTGGGCACCCTCCCCGACCATACAGCCAAGCATCTACCTTGCACCACCCCTCTGTTGCCCCTCACCTTCCCTCCCCACCTTAAGCTGCATTCCCCCCTTCCAGCCTGCAAAGGCCCCAGGCCCCAGACAGCCTCCTCAGCAGCCCCCAAAAGTGGGCCTGGAATCCAGATGAGGAGAAGTAGAAGACAAAGGGGTCGATGCAGGCGTTGAGGGTGCTGAGAAGCAACGCGTTACCCCTCCACTCGGGGCTCTGACCCTGGACGTAGCCGACGACGTGAGACACATTGTAGGGTCCAAAACAGATCAGGAAGTTGAGCAGCGTGGCGGCCACCAGCCCGAGCACCCTCCTCCGCCGGTGCAGGCTGGCTCCCCTGCTGAGGATCCACACCAGGCGGCTGTAGCAGTAGATGGTGATGAGCAGGGGCGCCCCAAAAAGAACCACTGCCATCTCCAGCCGGACCGGCAGGATAATGTCTAGCTGGTGCTTCCAGAACTCCAGGAAGCAAGTCTCATTGGCACTTGGGCTGCTGGAGGAGTTGCCAGACAGCGAGGTCACGTAGACCACACTGCAGTGGCTGCCAGCCAGGAGCCAGCAGACCCCACTGACCAGGCACGCCTGGCCCGGCCTTGGCCGATTCCTATACCAGAGAGGGTAGGCCACACTCAAGAAGCGCTCGATGCTCACAGCGGCCAGGAAGAGGGACGTGAGGTAGATGGTGGTGAAGAAGAGCAACCTGGAGAACAGGCAGAGGTGGAAGGGCAGGAGCCAGCGCAGGCCGCTGGCAGCCTCCACCATGCGGAAGGGCAGGAAGAGCAGCAGGAGCAGGTCGGAGATTGTCAGGTTGAGCAAGAGCACATCCACGGCCACGGGGTGGCGCTGCAGCTTGGCCACGAAGATCAGCAGGGCCATCAGGTGGAGGGGGAGCCCCAGCAGGAAGGTGAACAGGTACACAGAGAAGTAGAGCCAGTGGTTCCCGGGGAAGAAGGACTGGGGTGGAGGCTTGTCCATGGCGGCGCCCCCTGTTGAGAGAGAGCGAGAGCTGGGGCAGGGGCCGTCGCGGGGGTCTCCGCCCTTTCCAGCAGTAACAGCTCATCAATCATCAGGAAACATTGACACCCCACCTCCCTCCGGCTCAAGATGTCCCCAGCAAGGTCAGCCTGCCTGTCACACCCTGTCACCTATCCCTTTGCCCCAACCAACCCCCAACCAAACTCACGGCCACCCGAGCTGATGCCAGGTCATAGCAACCGTCTAGGCCAGGGCAGAGCTGTGCGTGGGTTGATGAGACTGGAGCTCCTTATGGCAATAGAAGCCCCGTCTCTCTCCCTCGTAGAGGGCTGGTCGCTTCAAACTGCTCACCCCGCAGTTAGCAACCCAACGTGTGACCACTATGCCAGCGGGGCTCCTGGCTCCAGCAAAAGTGGGTGGTGGGGGGGGATACCAAGTTGCAGGCTCTGAGTTGCCCCCTCCACACAGCCTCTGGGGCCCACCCATGCTCACCTGATTACTGTGCTCAGCACCTTGCCGTCTCTCCCGGAAGGAGTGTGGTTTACGCTCTAGTTGGTAAACTCATAAAGGCTCATGGCATCACTCACTGGCCAGTAGCTGCACAATAGATGCTTTGGGCTGCTTTGCCAGGGCGGCGTCCGTATGCAAAAAGAGGGGCAAACTCCACGACCGCCAGCCCTGCTGGCCAGGTGGCTGCCGATTGGTTGCAGGGCCCACACCGGAGAGAGCAGGCTTTGTGTCTCCTCCCTGATGCTCCCCTCGCATTCGATGGGCTCCTCTCGAAGGGTGCCCACGCAGCACACCTAGTAGCGATCCCAAGAGCCTCGAACCCAGACCGGCTCAGCCACTTCCTAAACTTGATGATTTGGGCCACGTGACTTAAACTGTCTGAGTTCATTCTGACTCCCAGTCACCCTATAGGACAGGATAGAACTGACCCCTTTGGGTTTCTGAGACTGTACATCTTTATGGGAACAGACAACCTCATCTTCCTCCCTTGGAGTGGCTGGTGGGTTTGAACCGCTGACCTTGCTGTTCGCAGCACAGTGCGTAGCCCATATGCACCAGGGCTCCTCGCAACCAGCTTTGAGTGGGCACACAGCCCATCTCACTCGGCATCACACAGGGCACCGCCATTAGGCCTTGGAACTCATGAGGCTGGCAGTAGGCATGGACTTGCTCCCGGGGGGATCGTTGTGAAGTACGGCCCCCAGGACTCGAGCCCCAGTTCTCCGGAGCAGCACCAGAACAGACAGGAGCAAAGAACTCACAGCAGCCCTAGAGAGAGTGTTTATTTGTCCGCTCAACTACTGTACTTAGGGAGTACAGTGAGATGCCTTGTCACACCCAAGTCCTGGGGGCACTGTGGCTTAAGTGTCAGGCGGCAAGATCAATGGTTCAAACCCAGTAACAGTCTTGGGGGGAAAAAGGTGGGTCTGTCTGTTCTCACAAAGTTTTGCAGCTTTGAAATCCCCGTATAGGGTCACTCCGGGTCGGAATCCCCTCTGGTCGTGGGCATGGTCCTTTTGTTAGTTAGAACGGCTTAGGGCAGTGGCCAGACAACAACAGAGAGTGCTATGGGAGCTAGTGGCAAAAAGGACAAGAAAGGAGATGCGCTAGAATTACGGTGATCAAGGTGCCACACCCCTTCTTGATGTGGTTGAACTGTGGGATTGTCTGATATGTAAAGTATGTGCCCCAAACCCTGTTTTTAGAAAAGCACTGATAAGACTGTGGAGAAACTGGAAGCCAGCAAATGGATCACAACATCTACATCCCCCTGGGGGAGGGACAACACAAAACTGGGTGAAGGGAGACATCAGTCAGAGGATTCAGTCAATGTGGTCGGTTTGGAGAGGGGCTGACACAATGGGGTAGCGGGGCTGCCTTGGGCTTTCAGCCAAGGGCTCTGATACGGCCAAGGCATGGCCACTGTTTGTTTACCATCTCTGCGGGCCTCGGGCAAGTTACTTAACTTCCTTGGCTGCTCCTTTTCCGTGTTTATCAAGCAGGGGCAGTAGACCTGACTTTGAAAGGTGATTCTGAGCCATTGTTTGTTCAGGAAATGTTTACAGAGTTCCTGAAACCTGCTAGCTCTCTTCAGGCCCTGGGGGGCTGTCAGTGAATACCACAAGCCTGGCCCTGGTGGGCATTGACACATGACAATGTAGACCCCTGAGTGACCCCCTGGCCTTGTGTTCTCCGTGGTTTCCAGCCTTAGTGCAGGGAGGTCTGGCTTCTGCACCTCCCCTTCTCAGAGCAGGTGCCTGAGGGTTGCTGTCTCGTGGTCCCAGGTGCCATCGATCACCTTGGCAGGATTGGGGGTTGACTCCAATACCCCCAATTGGCCTAATGTCCCCTGGGTCCTCACTTGGAGAACCTCACGCCACTTCCACCCCTTCCTCACTGTGGGGCCACGGGCCAGTTTCTTAAAGGGCCGTATGGTTGGGCAGGTGGTTCACGGCATGAGGGTGCCGGGCGGAGTGGGCCAGCATTGAGCAAATCTTCCCCTGTGCTCCACATCAAAGTAGACAATTGTGCAAATTAGAAAGCGACACCCCGTCCCGGGCCACACTGCCCCGCGCTGCTTAAGGAGTGGGTGATGTCTCCGTCTCCACCCAGGTTGGATTAAGATGCGTCTGTCTGACCTTGGGTCGAGGCCAGCCCCTGCCAGGCATGTAGCTTAGTGAGCCAAGCCCTCGCTGCCGGGTTTGCTCATGGCAGCCTCCCCTGAGGATTCAGCAGCCTTGTCACTTGATAAAAGAGCCAAATGAGGTTGGAATGAGGGGCCCTCAAAAACACTCTGCGTGGTGCCTGATACCTTCTAAGGAGGCCAGGTTGAGCTTGTGTGCGCCCTCCAGGAACTGGAGCATCCCTCCCCCGCTGTCATGCCAGAGCAGCTGCTGCCCCCTGGTGTGCCGCATGGACAGCAGGACCGCTGTCTTGTGCCCTGCTCCTCCTCCCTCTTTGCTTTTGTCACAGAGCCCTGGTGGCAGTGGTGACCTTGGTCACATTACGTGTGGGGCTGCTGACAGCAAGGTCAGCGGTGAAAGGTGGGGCTTTCTACTCCGCTTACGTGAAGAGCGGCAGTCTGGGAAACTCACCAAGGCAATTCTCCCCTGCCCGACGGGATTCCTCTGCTGGGAAACGAGTTTGGTTTTCTGTTTGTCTGTCTGTGTTGGGGAGGCATGGTGGTAGGAGCCCTGGTGGTGTAGCGGGCTATCCGTTGGGCTGCTAACCACAAGGTCAGCAGCTCAAAACCACTAAGTGCTCCGTGGTTGAAAACGGAGGCTTCCTATTCCCTTTAAGAAACCCACAGGGGCAGTTCTACTCTGCCCTAGAGGATCGCTATGAGTCAGCGTTGACTGGAGGGCAGTGAGGTTTTTGTTTCTGAGTTACCATGTTGGGCTTCCAACGGCAAGGTTGGCGGTTCAAAACCACCATCTGCTCCACGGGAGAAAAACGAGAGTCTGTCCTCCCATAAACCCACAAGAGGCCATTGGACTGTTTTGGGAGAACATTGCCAAGTAGCGTCTCTCAAAGTGTGTCAGGAGAGCAGCGTGGCCTCTCGGGCAGAAGCAAGTGTCCCTGCCTCTGTCCCCAGAAGCAAAGGGCACGAGAAAAGAGCCATGGGTGAAGGTGCCCAGCTGGTGACTGGGGGGCAGGGGGGAGCAGCTTACCTTTCTCTTGTGGCCTTGCTGCTGGTCTCCAGTCTCCTCTCGGCACTGGGACCTGGTCTCGTCCCAGGTTTGACCCCTTGCGGGGGAGGGTCTCCGGGGGTGTCTACGGGCAGGGTTCCCCTGCGTGTCCTTTGAAGCCGCTCCCACCAGGGGCCCAGAGAGGCAGCCTGGCTTCCCTGGTCCTTGGCCCTTCCCCACAGCAATAGCTACTGCTTCTGCGAGGTCATCTCTTGCATTTTTGCCATGCATGCTGGCCAGTGGCCAGTGCCCCTTCCCAAGTAGCTGGTCACCAGCGGGTTGACCACGACGCTCCAGGCACCTGTGATGAGTCCCAGCTTCCGCCAGCCATCTCCTATGTTGGGGTCCAGGTAGGCGGCCACGTTGGAAGCATTGTAGGGTCCTAGGCAGAGCAGCAGGGTGAGCAGAGCCCCACCCGCCACCCAGGCTGCCCTGACCTTCCGTTTGTGACTCAGGCCTGAGTGGACCAGTGCCCGGAGGCAGCCCACGTAGCAGAAGGCCGTGATGGTCAGGGGCAGAAAGAAGAGCAGCAGGGAGAAACTGAGGCGAGAAGAATCGGCAGAAGCGGAGTCCCAAGCCTCCAGGCAGACCGGAGAGCCATTGACAGGTGTGTTGATGCCCAGGGCGCTGGTGGTATTGTCCACCCAGCCTCCTCGAGCCTCCAAACCAAAGACCAGCCCCAGGTGACAGAGGACCAGGGCCCAGATGGCCACACACACCCCCCAGGAGTAGCATGGCCTCCGGGCAGCTTGGTAGCCTAAGGGGAAAGCTGCTCCCAGGTAGCGGCCAGCACTCAGCGCAGCCAGGAAGCCCCCGCCTGCATAGAGGGGAGCAAAGTGGATCAGAGCAAAGACAGGACAGAGGGAGGTTGGCAGAGGCCAGGCCCCCAAGGCCAGGGCCTCCACCGCTTTCAGAGGCAGCGTGACAGCCAGCAAGAGGTCAGAGCAGGCCAGGTGGAGGGCATAGACAAGGCTCGGGGTGAGGCGCAGCCGGGCATGGGCCACGGTGCATCTGAGGACAAGCACGTTGAGCGGGAAGCCCAGCACAAAGGCAGCCGCGTAGAGGGCGCAGGATAGCTGTGGAGGCAGGTCCATGGGGTCAGGGCACCGGCCTCCCCAGAGCCTGCCCCCAGCTTGCTCCAAGTCCGTGGGCCTCAGTGCATCAGAGAAAAGGGGCCCCTGGAATCACAGTCTTGGAATATCCGAAGGAAGCCAGGTCGTGAAATCACTGGTGAAATGGAGGCTCCTGGAGGGAAGGGAGAAAGCCAGTTAGCCCCAGAGCCTGGCTCAGAAGCCGGGACGGCGAGCCCTCAGCCCTTTGCTGTCCCCGCACCAAGAACACACCGCTGGGGCATAGGAGAGGCGAGGGCAGGGCTCCTGGAGGAGGGAGACCTCTGTCTGAGCAGAGACACAGCACAGAGAACCCAGGGCAAGCTTCGCCTGCAGAGCTGGGCCCTCTTTAGCATGGACGTTGAACTTGGAGGTCAAGGGCCGGGAGAAAAGCAAGAGCGAGAGACTGAGGTGGGTGGGGCGGGGTGAAGCCGGGTCCCAGGGTGGGGTGAGAGCCATTGACAGGTTTGTGGCTCCCCAGGGTGGAATTGTCCACCCAGTCTTCTGGAGCCTCCACCCACAGACCAGCTCCAAGTGTCAGAGGTCAAGGGCCTAAATATCCCCTCATCATCCACATACTCCAACAGTAGCACGGCCTACAGGCAGCCTGGTAGCCCCAGGAGAAGGCTTGCCTCCATGGGTCTCTGGAAAGAGACGAAGCTGCTCCCCTAGGAAGGCATAGCCCACCCAGCAGAGGATGAAGGGCTGGCGGTGACCTCCTGAGGGGAGTGGGAGTTCTGGGGGGAAAGATAGAGGTCGTGGGGAGGGGCAGGCAGAAGGATAACTCAGAGAAGAGCCCAAGGGCAAGCCAGGTCCCAGTGGTGTCTCGCGAGAAGACCTTACCGGACTTCAGGGCACCCTGGGCAGGGAGATTGGGGGTCTGGAGGGTAACCCTAGGGGGAAAGAGGAGTCACAAAAAGACAGACTCACCTCTTTGGCGTTCCCAGATGTCTCTGAGGCTCCGGAGTCCCCTCGCGGGGCTGAGGAGCAATGCCTGGGATGGGCAATGAGCCGGAAGGGAGAGAAAGGGCGGTGGGAGGGCCATTAGCGCGAAGCAGGAGCAGCCTGGATGAGCAGCTAATGGGCCATATCAGCCCAGAACTGAGCAGGAATCTGCGTTCTGTTTGTTTGCTCTCTGGGTAGGGGCTGGGTGTGCAGTTCATAGCACTTTGAAGGAGCAGGATTCATGGGGACAACTAGAATAGAGCCATCTGCCAGCCCTCACCTTCCCTTCCCACCGGCTGAGGGGCACTCTGGGGCATACCCTGTCTTGCTTCTGAATGGGATGGTGGGCAGGCCTTATTGGCTCACTCCCAGAAAGCAAAATGTGCTCCTCTGTGTGGGCACCCAAAGCATCTCAATTTAAAATTAGTAAGTCGGTGCCTTCCTCCTGCGACACGGTTTGGTAGTGAATGAGCGTTATTGACGTGTTTGCCTGTGTGCCATCCCCATTGCTTTCCTAAACAGGGCTCGGTCACTGACATTGTTAATCAATTTAAGTGAACATCCCATATATTTTCACCTAAAGAGTTTATCTATATATGTATATTTTTCTTTTCTCGATAGTACTTTAGTTGCTATGCAACAGGCTATATTAATGGCCCTCTTATTACAATTACCAAATGCCTCATGGGAGGCTACTTAAATTATTTCTCAACAAGCCCATAATGCTGCCTCTAAAGTGGACCATGGAGATATATATATATACTTTAGACATAAGGATGGATTTTGAGCAAACTCTAATCCAGGAACAATTAGTTCTTAGGATGTGGCCCTCTCAATACTTTCTCTCATGAAGTGATTACTGAAGATATCAGTGCTACAGCAAAGTGTGGTGAAGGCATCCGACGGTGCCCAGCTATCAGAAAGAATAGCATCTGGGGCCTTAAAGGTTTGTCTCAAAACAAGCAGCCATCTAAGTGAGGGGTCAGCTAAGTCCACATGGAAGGAGCAATTCAGCCTGTGTGATCCAAGGACTGTAAATCATGAAATCCAAGATCAGAGGAGGGAATTGCATCACAGCTTAAATTCTGAGCACCCAGTTTTCAGAAGGCGAGGGAGACAGTGAAAGCCCAGACTCTAGTTGCGCATGGGTTACAGTTCCACTGAACCCCTTGCTGTAGACACTCTCCCAGCCAGTAGCTCGTCTCCACGTTCTTTGGGTAAGGTCTTCTGATAAACAAAAGTTTTATATTTTTATAATTTTCCATTTATTTAGTTTGTCTTCTGCGCTCTGTGCTTTTGTTATATGCAACGCTCCATTATGAAAAGGTATTCCTTACAGGGTTGCTCCTGTGTTCTCTTCTAAGAATTCTGTTATTTTAGTTTCCATATTTAGTATCTTCGATCCATTTGGCATTTGTTTTTGTATATGGTGTGAGGCACGGATCCGGTTTCATTTTCTGCATGTGGAAATCTGATTTCCCTAAGATTACTTATTGAAGAGACTCTTGTTTCCACTGGAAACGGATTTAGTACCCTTGTCCAAAGCCAGTTCTCCATCTGTGTAGGCCCCTGTCCCTCACTGGGCTCTCAATTCTACCCCACTGGTCTATGTGTCCAGTGGGACGCCAGCACCAGTGGGCTTTGGTCACTGTCGCTGTAAATGTATCTTAGAATCAGGAAGTGTGAGTCTTCCTCTTGTGTTCTTCTTTTCCACAGTGTAGAAGTTACCGTTGGGCTAACTGCAAGGTCAGCAGTTCGAAACCACCAGCCACTTCTCAGTAGGACAGGGCTCTCTACTCCCATAAAGAATTACAGTCTCAGAAACCCAGAGGAGCCGTTTCTACCCTGTCCTAGAGGGTTGCTGTGAATCAGCATTTACTTGACAGCAATGAGATTTGGGGTTGTTGGTTTTCCCCCAAACTTTACTTTAGCTACTCGGGACCTCTTGCCATTCCATAGGAACCTGAAAGCAGGATTTTCCATTTCTGCAAAGAAGGCTATTGGAATTTTGATTGGGGTTATGCTAAATCTCTAAATCAGTTTGGGTAATATTGACATCTTAATAATATTAAGTCTTTCAATCCATGAACACCTTTCTTTCAACAGTGATTTATAATTCTTATGAATAAATTTCCTCCTAGGTTTTTTGCGATCTGAGGTGCTATTGAAAATAGAATCATTTACTCAGTAAGTACTATTGAATGGTCAATTGTCTAGGCTCTGGGAGGGGGGCTGCCTCTGATCTAGAATACCAGGCCTCCGAGTACTTGGCCATCTGTTCTGCACGCCTCATAGGGCCTGTTGACAGCGACAGGCCCCAGTCAATTGGTCATAAAGCAGGTTTATCTCAGCACTTGGCTCAGCGACAGAATGGGAAGGCACCTGTCGGTTGCCAGGAAATTTGTTCCAGGCCACGTCGGGCCTGGGGCTGCCTTCTGCTCCCTCAAGGGTACCCCGGGGGACAAAAAATGCTTTGGAGACTTTAGGCTATAAGAGAGGGACGTTGTGTTTGTGCCCCAGCACCTCACTCAGTGACCAGGGCTCAGTAAATGTTTGCTGAGTGAAAGAATGAATGATTGAGTAACATTGGACCATGTTTGGGGCACTAGAAACCCTAAGACTCTTCCTTGCTCATGTTTGCCCTCGTTTTAAAATTGTATTAAAATACATACAACATAACGATTGCCGTTTTAGCTATCGTACATGTGTGCAACCCCGTGGCATCAATCCCACTTAGCGTGCGATGCAGCCACCCAGCTGTCCCCGGATAACCAGCGATGTACTTTGGCCTCCGTGCAGTTGCCTGCCGTAGACATTGCATATCAATGGAGCCATACAGTACATGGCCTTTCGTGACGGGCTGATGCCAGCATCCTGTTGTCACATGGGTTAGAACCTCTTTCCTTCTTATGTAGAATCACATTCCATTTTTCCCCCCATTCACCTGCTGGTGGGCACCTGGGTTGTTTCTTCCTTTGGGCAAGTGTGAGTGTTGCTGCGACAGACCGGGTGCCCACCCTCTCCTCTTGTTGAAGCGTCTCCTCTTCCTCTAGGAACCCGTGTGTTTTTAGGTCATAGATAAAAACGACGATGCCCACAAGAAATCCCACAGGGGGCCGAGTGGGCCGAATGGGGAAGCAATCCTTCCCTTTGCCTGAAATCTAAGAGTGACCACAGTTTCTCCTTCTGGAGCTCATCCCAGCACCCAGCAGGGGGCAGGCGAAAGGCGGTGCTTCTGAAGCAACGGGCGATAGCCAGGCACCGTACAGCCACCCTCTTGGTGGGGTTTCCTCCCCTTGGGGAGACCGGGTCTTAGCCCGCAGGCGGAAGTGGGAGGGCGGATGGAGAGAGACCACAGGCAGAAGGACTCCTCTGCAGAGTGCCCGCCAGCGAACATGACCGAGAACTGGTGGGGATGACGGCGAAAGAGAGAAACGCTGTGGTTTCTCGAGACAGTTGGTCGCGGGGGCGTCTGCAGCAGGTGAGGGCTGTGAAAGGTCTTGGTAGGGGGTGGCTTTGGAGAATAGTGGCGAGGGGCCAAGGGGTTCCTGTTTTGCATTCTTCAAGGGATGCAAATGAGAGGAGGCACGGTTGATGAGGGCTTGGGGCTGCCACTGCAGGCTTCTTATTTGTAACCCCAGCTCATCAAGGGCAAGCTGGACTTCCCATCTTGAAGCTGCTGCAGGCTGATTGGCTCGGTCCCTACCGTTCAGTCCATCCCGACCCACAGCCACCCGACAGGACGGGGCACAACTGCCCCGTGTGGGTTATCAAGACTCTACAGGAGCAGAGAGCCTCCTCTTCCTTCCACGGCATGGCTGGTGGTTTCAAACTGCTGACCTCGTGGCTAGCAGCCCGATGCGTGACCACGATGCCGCCAGGGCTCCCCCGAAATGGTTGACGGCGTCTCCATGTTGCAGATTCTGGAACTGAGGCTCAGAGGAGTTGGAAAGCTTTGCCCGAGACCACCTGGCTATTTCGGTAGGAGAGTCGGGAGTCAAAACTCGCTCCTGTCTTCCAACGAAGCCATCGGACTTCACAAAACAAGACGTTGGGCTCTCCCATCCGCTGATTTGATCAGGACAGCACGGTATCGCCCAGTCTCACGATGCCATTCCCATCTCCTGATGCCCACACACCTTGACCACCCACCACGCCCACCCCACCAACTGGAAATAATCCACGGGGGTATTTTGTGGAACAGTATCTGAGCCATGTTTATTGTCCAGCTGGTGGGGTGCTCATTACATAATTAGCCACAACATCGAGTCTGTCTTGGACCCCCAAAGCCTGAGGGCAGGAGCTGTGACAGCGTAATGCTCCCTGTGGGATGGCTTCGCTGCCATGGTTCTAGAGGAGAAAGGAGGAGGAGGCAAGTCCTCTTTCTTCAAGAGATGCAGCTGCAGGATGAGAGCTGGGTTCATTTCCGTCCCTCGCCCCCGGGTTTTACCCTGGAGGCAGAAATGGGGCACAGGGTCCCTGAGTGAGGGGCTGCCAGAGCTTGGGCCAGAGGAATGGAAGAGAGGAGAAGAAAAAACCGTGTTGGGGGCTGGGGTTTAGAAGGCAGAGGGGCCAGGCGACTGGGGCCAGGAGGGAGCAGGGGAAGCCTTATGGTCCAGGGTTGGGAAGGAGAGTGAGCAGGGACCAGGCAGGCCCTTTGGAGGGTAGAACAATTTAAGGGAATGTAAAGGCAGTCTGTCTCTGGGCCAGGCGCACATTTCTTTGGCAGTGACTAGGGCGGCAGTGTATGTTGGGGGGCGGGGGGTGCTGTGTTAACTTTGTGACTGAACCGCAGGGGCGGAGGGACGTTCCAGGACAGCCCCATCCTCCGGAAGGTCCCGGGCACCTTCGCCGCATCCCGTTCAGGGCTTCAGGGTCACGTAGTCCACTTTGTCGTGGGCTGGAGGCCGCTCCCCCATCCCAAAATGAACCAGCTCCGAATAATGAATCCCTTCCTCTTCTTCTGCCAGAGCTGGGGCCACATTCTCGTAGTCGACCTGAGAAAGTCCTGGTAAACGGGGCCACGGGGCCACCCCGCACCCCACCACAGTGTCTGCTCGCCCTGCCCATTCACTCTGCTTAATGTCAACGGAGGGTCCAAGAGTCTTTTGTTCAAGCACTGTTGCCATCCCCATGTGGCTACCTCACCTTTGCCCCCTTCCCCTGGGATGCATCCCATTGGGAGAAGGAGCATGATCAGGCACACAGGTGAGATCAGATGGGGAGGGTCTGACCACACCTGAACCCCCTTCCTCAAGATCCAGCTTTGGACACTGCTCAAGTTCACCCAAGTCCTCCCCACGTGGAGGCTGGACTCGTAACTCTCCAACACCCTCCCTGACCTCTTACCACGGGAGGCTTCTGCAGCACCGAATACGTGACCATCTCCTCCCTATTTGGGGTACTGGCGGACATCCCCACACTCCTGAGAGGGAGGACAAACAAACAGATGACTACAAAGGAAGCATTCCCCCACCCCCGAATGTCCCTCCTTTCCCCAACTCCCCTCCTTCCCCAGCCGCACCCCAGTGAGCCTGCCCATCTGAGAACAAGTGACAGACTCCCCGGTGCCAACGGCTTTCCGTGCAGAAAAAAAAAAAGCAAACAAAACCCCCAACCCACTGCCCCTGAGTCGATTCCAACTCAAAATGACCCGATCTATGCAGGGTTTCCAAGACTGTGAGTCTGTAGGGAGCAAAGACAACCCCCCCTGTGGCTCGTGTGGGGCGGCTGGTGAGTTTGAACCACCAAGCCTAGGTTCAGTCGTCCAAGGCTTGTCCCACAGCCACACCAGGGCTCATAAACATGCATGGTGTGAATGTGTATATCAATCTCTATCTCCATCATCTATCTCTATCTCTGTCTATACATCATATCTATCTGTCTATCTATCTATCTACCTACCGATCTATCTATCTATCTATCTATCTACCTACCGATCTATCTACCTACCGATCTATCTACCTACCTACCGATCTATCTATCTATCTATCTATCTATCTATCTATCTATCTATCTATCTATCATCTATCTATCATTTATCTATCTATCTATCTATCATCTATCTATCTATCTATCTATCTATCATCTATCTATCTATCTATCATCTATCTATCAATCAATCTATCAATCTATCTATCTATCTATCTACCTACCGATCTATCTATCTATCTATCATCTATCTACCTATCATCTATCTATCTACCTACCGATCTATCTATCTACCTACCGATCTATCTATCTATCTATCTATCTATCATCTATCTACCTATCATCTATCTATCTACCTACCGATCTATCTACCTACCTACCAATCTATCTATCTATCTATCTATCATCTATCTATCATCTATCTATCATTTATCTATCTATCTATCATCTATCTATCTATCATCTATCATCTATCAATCAATCTATCTATCTATCAATCTATCTACCTACCGATCTATCTATCTATCTATCATTTATCTATCTATC